AAGCAATTTGCGTCGAAAATTAATTTGCACGCTCTCGGACCCGGAGCGAGCCGCATCCGTGTCGCGTCCGCGATTAATTTGTTAGCCGGAAGAGAGTGAGAGAGAAACAGTGAGAGGGGGAGAAAAAAAATCGGGAGAGGGTTAAATGGGGACATTAACATATTATGACAGGTGTCCGACAGAACAGCCCCCTCCACTACCACCCACACCCACACACACCCACAAACGAGGGAAAGTGTTCGCTATCAAGTTAAATTAAACAATTGGAATTTGTTCTAGTTTTCAGGGTAGGTTTAAGGTTTCGTTATTCCATTCAGAATGAATGTCTCTACCAGGACCCTGTAATATTTTCATCAAGGTCTGAGCCGGTCTGAGTGGCTTGTATCCTGAGCAAAGTCACATGAGTGTGTGTGGTGTTTCAGCGTTTCTGTGTGCGAAAAATTTTATGAGGGGAAATTGAAGTAAAAATAGACGGCGAACATTGAGAGCTTGGGCTTGAGGGAGGGGTGGGACGGCCAGTCCGGCCGGTCCCTGACCTTGGCGGTTATTCCAAAGGTCGAGATGGCGCGGTGGGTGGGTGGCGCTGCCCAAAGTTTCTCTTTCCCTTGTTTCGACATTGGAACTCTAAAATGAGGCTCCCAACTTGGCCGGCCACATCTAGGAGATGGGGGATGCGGGTGGCGGCGGAGGGGTGGGGGAGCCCTCACCAGGGCGACGACACCGAGGCAGGACGAGAGAGCGAGCACCCACGACCACCGTGACCTACCTACGCCGCAACTAGTTTGAACCGTACAAGGAAGGAGCTGCCAACCATATGTTAGTCACACACCGTGTTGTGCTTTACTAAAAGTGCCGCGCCCGATGAAGTATATGCTTATTTCTCGATTACTATACGGCTGTTGATGGAATCGCTCATGGTGGGAAATCCCAGGACACACATAAAAGAGGTCCTATTAACCTCAACGGCAGGTATGGCAGCGGGGGCGACGAGGGAAAAGGGAGGGGCGGTGGAGAGGGAGGGGGGGGGGGCGTGACCCTGTCCATTTGGCAGTGTCCAGTCCACGTGAGAGGCTCTTAGGCCCAATAATGGCCCCAGCCAGCCCGCCCGGCGCCCCGGCCGCGCTCAATGGAGACCGTTAGGACCTCCACGGTACGCGACGGGGCGTGGCCGGGCGGGAGGTGAGCAGGGGGCGAGGCCGGGGGCGACACCGACGCGCAAGGTGGAGAAGGACGGGCTTCATCCCTTCTCCCTCTTGCCCTCTCTCTCTTCCCCACTCTCTCCACCTACCCCCTCTCCCTCACTCTCCCTGTGATTGAGGTGCTTGTGCAATCTGCCGGGCCGTGCATAGACTGCCCCGTGGGGTGCAATGCTCGCCCGATGACTGCGCGAGGCGGGGCGGGGTGTGGCGGGGCGCGGCGGGGAGCGGCGGGGAGGGCGCGGAGGCGCGGCGACCAGTGAGAGGCTAGCAGCCCAGCAAGGGGAGCCCCGTAGGCTTGTTGACAAATCAGAACACAAATTTCGTAAGCTTGCGTTTGGCAAACCCGAATAACATTTTTAAGCTTATTGCTTGAGAGTATATTATTGTCCGTTGTAGCCACAAGTGATGTAGCTCTCTGTTTGCGGCATAAAACTGTAGCGGTGATGTATTTGACAGCACGTACGCCCGGCGCACTTCAGCCTGACAGCTGTCGGCTGCTGCACCGCGGACAGGTGTGACAGGCGTGGGCGGGAGGGGCCAGCTGGGACCATGGGCGGGCTGCCGAAGCTTATTTAGCAGCGAAGGTGAAAATAATAAAAAGTGCCTTGGCAGCATTATTGGGAAACGATGATTTACGATAATGGTTTTTTTTCCCTCGCTTTCGGGATGAAAATAATAAAATAAAAAAACGGAGCAACTAGGAGTGCGACGTGCTGTGCTACCCCCGCGCCACCCACTGACACCACCCTCTCCCCGGAGAGGCTCGCCGAGTGTTGCCGCACCTACAGAGGGGGCACCTCTACGAGTATTTTCAGCTGTCCTACAGGTACCACGTCGGGCGTCGGTTATCCTTTTTTTTTGCGACTGGCGGCGAGGCTGACCGACACGCCTCTTCTGACGAGCTTCAAAAAATGTGAAATACAGAGGGTAGCGCAATGAGAGTGGAGGGAAAAGAGGATAGCCAGCGGTCCGACGGAGGAGAGGCTAGAATGTGCAAGACGGCGTGCTCGTGAAGAGGGGTGTTAATAACGTTAATTAATATTTTGTTGGGCGCCTGGCTGTGCGAGTCCAGCAGCGCGGGGCCCGGGTCTGAGAGGCGAGGCGCGGGGGTGCGGCGGCGCGTGGTGTGGCGGGGCGTGGCGCGGCTGGGCGGCGCGGTGGCTGCGGGGGGTGGGGGTGGTTGGCGGCGGCGGCGGCGCTAGGCTTAATGCCAGCTGGCTAAGACGTTAAAGCACTTAAGAGTACAGAAATGGCTCTCCCTGAGAAAGAGGCAAAGATTGCGCGCGGTGAGGGTGGCGGCCGGGCCGGCGGGGCTGCTGGCGGGGATGCACCTGATTCATGCTGTGATTGCACCCTCTCCGCACACTGGAAGCCAAGAGTGAGAATGCCCATTCACACACCTGCAACTGTGCGACATTCACGGACTTAGCGTTTCTCCTTCGGGGTGAGGTCTGTGAGGCCACGACGGCCAGGCCCTCTGGCCCTCTGGGCGGGCGAGGCGGTGATACACGCTTCACACTGGGGGCTGCATGGCCCCCGGAAGCTATGCGAGGCTCGCGACAGCTGGGACGCTTGCAGGCGCTCTGCTCCGCTGCTCTGGAGTAAGGCGACCTGCCCCGCCCCGCGGCGGCCACGCCCGGCTCGCGGACTCTGACATTGAGCTTTGAATAATTTTAATCTCGGTGATGAGGAAGGCTTTCCATTTGCAGGCAGCCGACCGAGCTTCCTTTTCCTTTCTTTCTCCATGGCCCCCTCTCTTCCCCCCTGGCCTCTCCGCGCTCACCAACCCAATCTCTCCCTCTCTCATTTTTTGTGTCCGTTCGGCGCCTCCTGGCGGGCTGGCTGGCGCCTTGGCCGAATAGGTTTCGCTCGGTGACAGAAAAATAATTGTAAAATTCATTAAGTAATCCCGAGGAATGTATTGTGAGGGGCGGGGTCGGGCGGCTCGGCTTAATTTCTATAATTGAATGAGCGCCCCCTTTTTGGCATGCCTATGCTGGACGCGTCCGGGCGGAGCGTGAGGAAGAGAAAGGGGGGAGGGGGGTGAAAATAAAAATTGTCTCAAAATCAATGGCGGAACAAGAGAAAAAAAGTAAAATGAATGGTGAAGTGGTGTTGATGGTGTCGGTGTGGTAGTGGTTGGTGGTGGTGGAAGTGGTGAAGCCCGCTGGGGTAAAGGGTTGACAGCGCCGCCGCCTAAGAGTTTTCTCTCTGGCGGAGCTCCACTTAAGCGATTAGCGAGTAGACTCCCCCCCCCCCTTTTCCCCTGCCCCCGCCGCAACGCCGGCACACCCGCGGCACACTCCCCAAAATCCCGCCGAAATTTTAAACGACCCTACGAACTACAGGGCCAGAAACCAACACTAGACCGGTCTTTTTTAAAAAAAATTTTTTGCCAGCCTTGCTGCTTCTTTTCCACTCGTCCATCCCTCGCCCCCGGAGAGAGAAAAAGTCGCACTGGAATAAATAATGTTTGACACTGAAACACTCCGGCCGGCAAGGCAGAGGGGGTGGCGGGGCGGCGGGTGGGTGGGCCGCGGAGGGCCTTCCATTGACTTTCATTTCATCCGTCTTCGCTGCTCCTTCCCCTCTCAACCCTTCCCTTGTCCGTCATTGCCACCCCAAATGTATATTTCTCGATTACCTCATTTCCCCATTGCGGCGCTGGGCTGGCGCGGGGGCGCCGAGCGCCTCCGCACCCCTCCTCTCTAACTAACAGCCATTCGAGTCCTCCTTGCCTACGATTATTTCTTTTTACTTTAACGGGTTTATCCCTCGCCTTTTGCGGGCCGCCGCCGAGGACGAACTCCACGCCCCCGCGCGGTGGTCCACGAGAAACACGTCAAGCCACGCCCAGAAAACCGTATCTTTTGGGGAAAATGAAATTTTACTTACTACAACGAAAGTTTCGTGCAAGAAACAAAAGTCAAATTTTTTGTTCAAAAGACGAAAGAATTTTTTAAACAAACGACAGTTTCGTCAAATAGAACAAGTTTTGTTGCAGCTAAAGACAATTTTTCTTCGAAGTCATGATTTCGTTTCCACAAAGAAACTGTTTACTGAGTGCACCGACGCTCCGCGCACAACTACATTCATATAAGGTTTTGGCAGTGTAGTAGGCGCGCCGCCTCGTCTCGCGAGCGCCCCACATCTTTCTGTTCTCCCGTTCCCACCGTGTTGACACTTAATTTCCGTGATTCGTCGCTTACTATTACTACTTCATTACTCCAGACGTCTCGTGGCGGGGCGTATGGAGGAAGAGGGGGGGGGGGGCAGAGGAAAGGGGAGAGCACGGTGCCAAAAGGGAAAAGCTGAAGGGGGTGGCAATCAAGATTCCGACCATCGACTAGCGCAAACTGGGAATCGCAAAGCAAATGAAATGTAATAATTATTTTGGCGATTCGCGGGCAGCGCGGGCCGGTTTACACTGCGCGCGATCATCGTTCGGGTCGCTTCGTTGTTTGTGTGGCACAAAATAACTCACAATTGCATGGTGTTTTTCTTAATGAGGTATTTTACGAATAAGAAGAACAGGAGGAATCCCGGCCGACGTCTGCTCCCGGACCATAACAAAGCCACGACCAAGCGCACGGTTTCTCGCGTATCTCCGCTAAAACTGAAAAGAAGTCATAACTGTTCTATATCATTTTAAAGCTGAGAACCTCAAAAATCTGGTACACGAGAAACCGTTTCGTTATGCGCCAGTGACCTGCGACTTGTTGTGGTCCAAAAGCCGGGATTCCTTCTGTTCTTCTTATTCGTAAAATACCTCATTTAAATGGAGGTTAGATGAAGTCTTACCTTTTTCGATGGCGACTGCGCTGAATTTGACCTGAAACAACAGAAAGAAAAAACATGTGTTAATCTCGTAGACATGAGCTATGGAAAATTGGCTCGACTTTGCCGTTGAAAACAAAAGGAAAGGCCACAACATTCCTTGTAATCTGGTTCTGATTTATGCCCTCTTGTTCGGACTTAACGATGTGTTGTTAACCCCGGAGATCTCCCGTGCACCGCAAGGGACACGCGGAGCCGGGAGCTCAGCACCACCTTAAAAGACACTTAGGAGAGTCTTAAAATCAGGCACTGAATTTTGTTGCGCGTCGGGTTGCTTCTGCAGCTTCTGGGGGTCGAGCGAGGGGAGCAGCGGCGGCGCCTGCTAGGAGAGGGGGG